AGGATGGGGGATGAGGAGGAAGGGAACAGGTAAGGGGAGTTGGGGTGGTGAAGGGGATTGGGAAGGAGGGTTGCGGGAAGGGGAGGAGGGTTGGGAGGGTTTGGGGATGGGTTGGGGTGGAAGGGTTGGAGTTGGGGATGGGTTGGGGCTTGGGATGGATTGGGGCTGGAAGGGTTTGGGAATGGGTTGGGGCTGGGAGGGTTTGGGAATGGGTTGGGGCTGGGAGGGTTGGGAGCTGGAGGAGGTGTTTGGCGGGTGAGGGTTGGGGAGGGTCGGAGGCTATGACCTTACTCGAAAAAAACTTTGGCGGGGTCGTACGTGGGTACCATGCTTACCCGGAGGCTGGGTTCGAGCTCATTAACACCTACACAAACTGGGAACATCCCTTTAAAATTTCAGCCCCCAAGCACCTCCGGTTCCCGAGTTAGCAGCCTACCCGTGAAAAACTTTGGCGGGCTCTTACGTGGGTACCACACGGGTAATGGCGCCCATTTTGGGAACTGTGGCCCGTACGTGCATGTAGATTAAGTTCCCAAAGTTTTAGCCCTATAGCTTTTGTAGATCTTGAGATGAAAAAGCGTGACAGACGCACACATAGACAACCCTTCGTCAATATGCGTTTTATGCATTGCATAGCTGCAAAAAACGCATAATAAAGTGAGATCCGTCTTACGAAAGCTCATGACACTCCAGCTCAAAGTTGGGTGATCTAATATAACTTCTAGAACGTCGTGCTCGTGTCAATGGCCGTTTTATGCATCGAAGATAGATAAACTGAATGACCACAGAGACAGCATAGAAAACGCTATACATTTAAAACTTATTCCAGGAAGAACGAAAGCCACAATCACAAGCAGTTCGACTCCCAAGTGATGCAACTTTTACAACAAACTTATTGGAAAAGTACGGATGGCAAGAACGTGCCTGCAACCAAACGAACAATGAAGAATATCAAATTCACACAATTCTTAGGGAAAATTAATGAAACAAACCTTTCCTCTCGCTCTGGAGCAAACATTAAGAGGCACAGTGAGCATCGACGACTGTTTGCAGCAGCAGACTGAAGTTTACTGACAGTGCTCAATATGGACGGCACAGAACCAGTGAAACCATCCGATATAAGGCCGTTTATAAAATTCCTGGTGACTGTTTCTACCGAGGGGTCACATCGGACATTATCCAGCAGGCTCTTTTGCTCATTGAGAATAAATCGATCACTTTTTTCGAAACTGTAACAATTTTTCATCCATTTCACTGACGGCAGAAAAAATTCACACTTACTAAAACTGCTCTCACCGTATACGTTAGTCGCTGAAATGCACTTAAGGATGATGCGGTTTATGATCTGATGAACGACACAATATAAGGAGACACAAAAACTGCCAGAAAAGACAGCAAAAACAGGCGCAAAATTTTAATTCACAAACTCAGCGCAACTGCGTGAAAGCTGGAATGTACCGTAAAGTAGCCCAGAAACGTTAGGTTTAGCGCTGAAAAGTTAAACATGCTGTATACGGACAAGCAAAGTGTAGAAATATGAAGCACTGCCTCGGATATAGAGGGATGTGGGTTTGAATAACTTTATCTCTGCGGCAGTTACACAACTCAGCTCTAACAAATTTTTCTGATTTCTCTCATAAGTTATGAAAAAATTACTGGTTGACAAGCGCAAGTTCCTTTTCGCTGATTTCGCGTAGAGGGCGTATCACTGTCACGCTCCCAATACCCCTATTCACTGTACCGGTGGAGCAGTGAACTGCAGCACCTAAAAATTGTTAAACGATTGAGAAAATAAACCTGAAATGCTGGCGGTGGGGGGGGAGGGGGAAAAAAGGCGGGAAGCTTTTCTTCAGACGCAGCAGCCGAAGTGGTCGAAATGACAAAACTGCTTGCCAAAAGCGTTAACCACTAGAAATATGTAAGTGGTTCCCTGCTCTACGAACTGATGCAAAAATAGTGGCCAACCTCTGCCCAGTGCAAGCGCAGCGAGTGTCATATTTGCCAAAGTGTCGGCCGAGTCCGGTAACATGACTTTATGAATTCTCAGTCTGCGTGCCACACGAACATAAAGCAAATCTGCACATAAACGCTGCAGCTCCTCTTGCACAGTCAGTGACGAACACGACGCAAGCAGCCTCGTCCAACTCTCTATCTACAACAGTGAATATTTTTAACAAAACCAATAAGGCATTTTATCAGAAACCAAACCCTCCTGTGCAAAAAATTATCACACACACATGCACACACGCACGCACACACACACACACACACACACACA